ACTAAAGTTCTTCCAGCCATTCCCGTCTTTGAAGACCTCCCTGCCGACATGATCCTTGGTGCTGACTTCTTGCTATCTGATGACCATACATAGCGGTCACTTCGAGCTTCGGTCTTCGACAGCTGTGACTACCGCCACAACCCTGCCACCACAGACAAGATACAGCAGAACTGCCAATCACTAATTTGCTGCTCCGTCGCATACGAACGGGAGATCACCCGCCAATATTTGTACCACTGCGACGATACGCTGAACTAGAACGGGCAGTGATCGCAGAACAAGTAGATGAAATGCTTGCCGCGGGCATTTTTAGGCTGTCATCGAGTCCGTGGGCAGCGTCAGTCGTCCTTGTTTGCAAAAAAAAAACGAATCACTACGTTTTTGCGTGGACTACAGGCAGCTCAATAACAGAAAACGCCTGACTCCTACCCTTTACCCCTCATTGATTATGCTGTTGATACAATACGTCACTGTAAGTTCTTTTCGTCACTTGATTTACGCGCAGGTTACTGGCAGATCAACGTCGCGGAGAAAGATAGCTGTAAAACGACCTTTCGAACGCATTTTGGTTTGTATGAATTCAACCGCATGCCGTTTGAACTAAGAATGGCTCCTAGCACTTTTCAGCGTGCGAATATCTCAGTGCTCGGACCAATGAGCCTGTGTGGTGTACTAAGCCGACATCCTGGTCGTTGGCAGAACAGACGATGAACATCTACGCAATTCGGACGAAGTACTACACAGACTCCATGCAGAGGGATTGCATTTGAACCAAGAGAAATGCTGGTTTGGGGTGTCCAAGATTTCGTACCTGGGACATAATATATCTCCTTTCGGCATTCAGGCACTCCCGGAGCGAATAGCTGCCGTGTCGCAGTATCCCACACTAACCTGCTTGAAGCAGGTTCAGTCATTTCTGGGTATGGCCTCGTATTTGCGAAGGTTTATTCCCCGCTTCGCTTCGATCACAGCTCCCTTGAGCAGTTTTTTAAAAAGAACGCACGGTTTGAACGGGGCGTCTCACAAGAAAATGCTTTTCGAGCTATAAACAAAAGCTCACTAGTTGCCCCATACTAAGTCACTTCAATAAAGACTGGTCCACCGAAGTGCACACTGATGCCAGCCGAGTCGGCCTAGGAGCTGTGTTAGAGCAGCGTGATCCAGATGGCGTGGAACACGTGGTCGCTTATGCCAGCCGAAAACTTTCATACACCGAGCGCCACTATCACCCAAACGTGCTTGAATGTTTTGCAGTAGTATGGAGCGTCGATTATAAGTTTCGACAATATCTTTTCAGGCGTAAATTCGCTTTTGTGACTGATAATGCTGCTATAGCACGAATGTTCTCCAAGCAGCAAGTTAAGCACAAATTCGCCCAGTGGATAATCACACTGTAAGAGTTCAATTTTGACGTGCGCCACCGTGCCGGGGGGTGGGGCTAAACAACGTCGCCGATGCACTCTCACAGAACCCCCTTGACTGCGCGCAACAAACCACGAAAACCCACATTTTTTTCGCCCAGATGGGTATATCTCAAGCCCAACAGCAGGATAAAGTTTTGGCATCCATTATTGCTACTCTCACTGACAAGGAAAATCACAGTACTTTTGTGATGCGCAATGGCGCATTGTAACGGCGTCACTGGCGAGCGGACCGATCCGAAGAACGTTACCACCTGGTGATCGCGCAATCCCACAGGTCAGACATTTTAATAGCCATTCACGACTCCCCAGAAGGCGAACACGCGGCCAACAAGTCACGCTCCAGAAACTACAGGATCGTTTTTGGTGGCCGAAGATGCAAAGTAGCGTCCATTCTTATGTCGCCAGTTGCAAAATCTGTCAGCAGTTTAAGCGACTGCCTGGGTGTCAACTTGGATTACTAACACCAATACAGATACCCAAAACAATTTTCCACATGATTGCCATTCATTACATGAAACCTTTACCCACCACCACTGCGGAAAATTGTTAAGCCATTGCAGCAGTAGACTACCTGCCAAAATACGTGGAAGTGTAGGCCGTACCATCTCTTACACATGGCTTACCAAAACGTTTATATCTGATCGGGCTACAACGTTTCGTAGCGGGGAACTGAAAAGTACCTTTGCACGGCAGGCGTGCAGCACCACTTCGCATCCGCGTTTCATCCTCAAGCAAACGGTCTTAGTGAGACAACTTACCAGAGCATCCAGGCACAACTCGCTCCATATACGAAGGCAGGGAAAAGAGGAGAGGCCGACTGGGACGTCTACCTTCCGTCAGCCACTTTTGCTGTTAACACAGCACTGCAGACGTCTACCAGGGAAACGCCCTACAAAATTGTTTATGAAAAACTACCACAGCTGAAAGCGGTCCTCAGTTTGAATGCTCCCTTTATAGTTCCACGGGCCAACAATCGCAAAGCGACCCGTCAGAAGATCCGAACTGAGGCGATCAAGAAAGCCGCCACACAAAAGAAAATTGAAAGCGCCACTATGACAGACGCCGTAGGCGCGCTCCTTCTTACAACATCGGTGACGAGGTGTGGGTGCAACGGGGCACCAGCGGGCCCAGCAAGAAGCTACTCCATAAGTTCGGCGGGCCATTTATATTTACTCAGCGTGTAGGAGAAAATACCTGGCGTGTGAACACCGCAGATGCGAACTTCACTCTCGATAACCGCAAAAGAAACCACTTTGCCGTGCATGTGTTGCGCTTGAAAAAAGCAGTCGGACCACTGCAGGTGCCAAGAACTGTAATTTATTTTTTTGCTTTGTCAGGTCCGCAGTGTGGCCGAATGTAACGCAGAGCGGTGCGGATGCTGTGGGCCATGGGCTGAATGGCGAGGAAGAAGAGGCCGAATAGAACAGCTTGCGCGACGTACGGGTGTTGTGTCTGTCTCGCTCATTACAATATATATATATATATATATATATATATATATATATATATATATATATATATATATATATTATTTCATCCTGTTATTCATACTATAAACCGGTGTCCGAGAATTTATTGCCTGCGAATATATATATATATATGGTGGGGTGAAAATTCAATGGATCCGGTGGAAAGTGCGGTAGAAAAAGAGGTCGACAAACGTACGAAAAAACACTAGTTTTACTAACGTTTCCACCTGCCAAAACGTTAGTAAAACTAGTGTTTTTTCGCACGTTTACCGTATATATATATATACATATATACATATATATATATTTATATATAGGGACAGGCATCGTGGTTCTGTGACCGTAGCGTTGCAAGCAGTAAAGTAAATCCTCCGTGAGCAGTCACAACGGGGTTTATTTCGACGTTTCAGCCAGAGTCGCCCTCATCGTGATCAAGGCCAAACTTGAGCTGAAACGTCGATTGATTGATATGTGGGGTTTAACGTCCCAAAACCACCATATGATTATGAGAGACGCCGTAGGGGAGGGCTCCGGTAATTTTCACCACCTGGGGTTCTTTAACGTGCACCCAAATCTGAGCACACGTGCCTACAATTCCGCCTCCATCGGAATGTAGCCACTGCAGCCGGGATTCGATTCGCCACCTGCGGGTCGGCAGCCGAGTACCTTAGCCACTAGACCACCGCGACAGGGCTGAAACATCAAAATAAACCACATTGTGACTGCTGATGGAGGATCTACTTGACTATATATATATATACATATATATATATATATATATATATTTATATATATATATATATATATATATATATATATATATATATATATATATATATATATATATATATATATATATATATATATATTGGAAGTTTCAGAAAGAATCTGGCCTTCGTCCTGACAAACGCCAGACTGTGGGGGAAACCGTCCAAATAAATGCTTTCGTGGTTACCATTCTCACAAAGAATTTACTTGACGTATGCATATATATATATATATATTTATTTATAATATATATTTGTTTTTCTACACATCAAGTGCAAGTTATTCCGTCACGTCAGTATGAGCCACTACATTCGCGGCCCCCTCCACACTGGAATTTGCGCCAGAAGACGCAGAGGCGTGAATACAGAACTCACGCGGCACCTAGAGTTTCAGCCGGCATGCATGTGCTGGAAACACGCAGTTTCTGCTTTTGATACATAGGTTGGAAATGACTTCTAGCCGGAACGTAACAAGGCCTAGGGATTTCACCACCCTGAACGGGCTGGCGAACCGGGGAAGAAACCTCGGCAACGCGCTGGCTGCGTCGAACCAGCACTAGAGGTCTCCTTGTTCGAAAGGGGTGGGGTTCTCGTTGGAATACGAGAGGAATTTCGCCTGATGATGCGCTATGGCTAGGTGTGCTCTAAAGCGAGTTCTCTGAATAATCATTGAAGCACTGGTATCATTCATACAATTTTGGGCAGTGGTTTTGGAACCAAAGAAGTTTTCTTGCAGACCCCTTGGCGTCCTTCCGTTAGACCATCTTGAATGGTGACTCCCGCGTGGTTGCCTGCTGTGACGTATTTAAGGCGAAGGCAATTGCGACGATGTATACGTCCCAGATGTTCTGACTGGGACTCATGTATAACGACAGAATGTCCTTTGTGGTACCTTTTGTACTGTTTTTGTGGGTGCTGAGGAGTGGCTGTTGCATGTCGAATCGCATGACCATTCAATAGGTTTTGGGGCCTGTAGTGCTTCACAGAACGTGCCCAACAAAACGTAGCCAAAAATGCCACTGTGCATGCCCCACCACAAAAACATCTCTTTGATGCGCGCAAGTGTTTTTTATAGCACGAGATGATTGGTAGTCTGAGCGTCGCGGCACATGAAGGGCACCGATCGCCGCATTGCAACCAGCAAAACAGGCATGAATAACCCATTCCGATTATTTCGCTTATAAAAGATTCTTTCTTGGACGACATGCGACGCAGAAAGACTTTCACGACGACGCTTGGGAGTGCGTACTTCACTGAATAGTTCCAGGGTTATATCGAGGATTCCTGCATATTGTAGCTGTATGGTTCGTAAATCAAGGACTGCAGTGACTGGCGAGATGTCACTGAGAGCTGTCGGGTGGCGGAAAGGTAGTCAGTGTCTTGATGGTGAGTGCCGCTGTGATGGACAATAAAAAATTTGTGATCTAGCAGTTTGAGAGACCACTTGGTGAACTTAGCATTGAGGACGTTTATCGTTTAGAGCCAGTGAAGGGCGACGCTGTCGGTAACGACCGTGAAGCTTTTACCATAAACGTACGGTCGAAATTTTTCGACGTCTCCCAATCAAGCACTCAATTTCAAAGGCTAAGTATCGGCTCTGTTTTTTACTGACCGGCTGCAAGTCCCTCCTGCCCATCCTCGTTAACTTCAAAGAAAACAGCTCCGAGGCCCAGGCCACTGGCATCGGCGTGTAGAATCGTCGGGGCATTCTCGTCATAGTGCGCAAGCGTCGGAGGTGCTTGAATAGCAGCCTTGAGGGCAAGAAAGCCCGCTGCTTTATCGGGGCCCTATTTCCAGCGAACAAAGTGTTTTAAATATGGCACGAGGCCCAGGAAACTTTCAAGCTGCGTAGGAGTGGTGGTAGCATATATATATATATATATATATATATATATATATATATATATATATATATATCATGAAATTGCAGATAGCACATTTGAAAAGGAAATCGTATTTACTAACGTTCCGGCCGTGGCACAGCCTTCGTCAGAGTAAGTAGGTTAATACAATGCAGCCGCTTTTATAGGTTCACGTGATGAACTTGGTATAGCAGCTAGGACAATCAAAGTAAAAAAATGGTAATCTGTCAGAACCTTGTGTTGACATGACTGACATGTGACGGGTGCATGAATATACAAGTTTCAAATTTCCTTGCGCATCGACACGCGGGGCACAGTATGGTTGGCAGGACATGTAAAAGAGCTCTGAAGTAAAGGAACCACGGTTGACTAATATACATTTCAATGTACACTAAAATATTTTACTAATCTAAGAAGTCGTGTTGTTATAGTGTGAGGCAGGTGATCTTTCCTACGTTTTCATTGATACCTGAACGAATGGTGTTAAATTAGTGGATCAAGAATGATTCCCTCTTTTCCCTATCGTGATTTGACTTGAAACCGGACTGAATAATTGTGGCCCTAGTTTTGTCGAAACCATGGCCAGGCATACTGACGTGCTTCGACAGCGGTAGATAAGGGAGGCTTATGGCATGTGCACGGTGATTAATAAAACGCATGATTAAAATGAATCTCCCACAAGCAGTTGTGGGAGATTCACAAACAAAGTATATACATCAATACTTCGAACCCCTCTGCATTGGCGCACCAGCTTTCATTTCGCAGTGTGGTGCTCAAAAAAATTAAGTGATGTGCGTGACTTACTGGAACTATGGCCCCGCTCAGCATCCTGTCTTAGTCTTCATGTTATAACGGTCGATGTGGCTTGGAGTTCGGGACAGGAAGCGTTTGCAAAATACCGCGATTGACTTGAAAGCATTGCGAAAGACCGCCCAGAAATTCGGCGAATTTACGCCACGCTGATACTGCCTAGAAGTGGAAACCGTCGACAAAGGAACTGTAACCTGACATTCGTCCGACGCTGCAACAGAGAAGCATCAGTGTTCAACAACATGCTTCGGAATTTTTGCCGCTATTCCCGGCTAGTTTGCTACCTCGATCATGAAATCGAATGGTTACCACCCACACGCGTCCTCGCAGCAGACATTCTTCATATGAGCTACGAGGGTGTGTCGTTGCTTGCAAGCCACATCCGCCACCTGTGCTTCAGGAGACCGGTGGATGCGACATCAGCTGCCTGGTGCGATTCATCAACGAATGACGACTCTCCGTATCGAGTGGGTCGAGCTGGGCGACCTTCAGCACCCAGTCATCCTACAGGACAGCTGAACTCAAGAAACAACACCGCGCCGACAGCAACCTTCACCATGACGAGCAAGCTTTCCGTAGCAAGAACGTCACCTCGAAAGCATCGCGCGCCCACATGAACAAGTCGCAATCTACACAGCCTACGTTTTGCCTACCGCCGCCTGCGGTCGTTGCATCACTTTCGCCGTCTCAACCACGCTACGGACTCCGGAACAGGGGCACAACCACAAGAGGAACGAACTGACTAACACAACGCCAGCTGGGTTAGAGTACTTTGTCTGTTGGCTCAATGAACTTTTTAAGGACCAGAAAGGTTACAGAAAAACGGACTCGTTGTGGATCGCACATTTCTATACTTAGAATGTATGCCGCGGCCACAAGTGCTCCTAAAGGTTTACAACTAAAACTGCAGCCGGCCACATCAGAGATGTCAAAGAAAAACCTGTCAAGGTGGAACAACACCTTAAATAGGGCGTCTGTTGAACTAACCAGCATACTTATTAGCCATTAGGAATCATCACAAAAAGGTCTGCGGAATCAGGAAAAACGGCTTGTGCAATCCTCTCAGTTTACGACTGAAGAATTAAAAACTCTCGAATTATATCGGTCACAGAAGTTAGCCGAGCTGGATGCTAAAAAGTCAAAGAAGGTCGCGCGTGACAACTTAAGAGAAAAGGAATGCTCCCGACGAGGAAGCATTCTAACTACAGCTGAAATGCGCCAGCCCGAGCTGGAAAGTAAATCTTCTGGAAAGGATAACATTATAAATGTGTCATGTTACGATCTATCAATTGAGGAACGTAGTGTGTTTTCTCGAGGACTTAAGTTTTGCTCTGCAACAGGAGGCTATAGTGAATTTCAGTTGGGGAAGGATCTTCACAATTTCGAACGTAACATGCGCCTCCGTGAGTACTTTTATGATCGGTCCTCGGCTCACAATACCGATAGCTCATCATTGCCATCTTACAAGCATTGGACACCTCCCTCCCAAAGAGACAAATGTCTGGACCTTTATATCAGAGCTGTACAACGCGATGTCATGCAGGCATATAAAGAACGTACACCATGGCATCGCAACCTTACTGCCACAGAGCAACAAGCAATTGAATCCCTCGCTAGTCGTAATGACATAATTATAAAACCTGCAGATAAAGTAGGCGCCATTATTGTAATGTACAGAAGCAAATATATCCGCGAAGGCCATAGGCAGCTCAGTGATGCATCATCTTACAAGCGGCAAGATCATGACCCAACAAACGAGTTCAAAGATATTGTTCGTGATACTGTGACTGCGCTTTTTAATGATAAAGAAATGAGCTATGGCACTCTGAAATCCCTCATACCGTTGAGCCCAGTAGCTGGCAGGTTTTACCTTCTTCCCAAAATTCATAAGAGAGATAATCCCGGTAGACCGATAATTTCTGGAATTGGAACAGTGACTGAGAACCTTTCCCGTTATGTAGATAGCCTCATCAACACCATTCCATCCAGCTTTTCTTCTTACATTAAAGATACCAATCACTTTCTATCAGATATTGTTGACCTACAGGTTCCTCAAAATTCGTTTCTCGTTACGTTAGATGTCACGTCACTATATACTAATATCCCTGACTCAGATGGCATCGAGGCAGTTATCTGTGCGTACAACGATTGCGACGCCAACAAACCAGTTTTCGCATCTATGTTAGCTACGTTTTTTAAGCTCATTCTTGAACTTAACAATCTCGAATTTGATGGGACATTATGTTCAAGTTAGCGGTACATCTATGGGCACAAGAATCGGACCAAACTACCCAAACATATTTATGGGGCTCCTTGAAAACAAATTTCTCGCAAATTGTGAATACAAGCCATTTTACTATAAGCGGTTCATCGACGACATTTTCCTATTCTGGCACCATAGTGATTCGCAACTTCTTTCTTTAATAGCAGATCTTAACAACGCTCATCCGGCGATTTCTTTTTCGCACTCGTATTCACCTGTGAACATAAGCTTTCTTGATGTCATGGTCACTCTACGTAACGGGAAGCTGATAACTAATCTTTACAGGAAACCCACGGATAGGCAGCAATATCTTCATTTTAGTAGTAGTCACGTGAAACACAATAAAACTAGTATTCCTTACAGCCAAGCAGTCCGTTTTAAAAGAATATGCTCGGATAGCAGCAAATTTTCCCGCCACTGCGAACAACTTTGGAGCGCGCTCGAAAAACAGAGCTATCCGGCCAGCATAATCACAGACGCCATCAAACGTGCAGAAGAGCTCGACCGTTCAGACCTGCTGAGTACTAACCCAAAGATTAAGTACAAAGATGAGTACTAACCCAAAGAGTAAGACCCAAAGATTGTTCGCGGACTAATCTAATTTTGACACATGCGGCCTCAGCTTCAAATGTGAAACATATCTTAAAGAAACATTTCAACATTTTAATACAGAGCGAGCGGCTCAAAGGAATCTTTACAGAACAACCACGCGTGGTCTACCGACGATCGCGGAACCTTCGTGATTTACTAACCTCATCTAAAACCACGTGTTCACATCATGAAGGCTGTCATCCCTGCAACAAACCACGTTGCAAAGTTTGCGCGTACATGACGACATCTAAAACAGTTTTAAGTACATCGTCCAGTTTTTCTTTAAAGATAAATGGGAACTACACGTGTGATAGTATCAACGTCATCTATATTCTCGAGTGTTCTACATGCGGAGCTCAGTACATAGGTCAAACAGAGACAAGTTTCAGAATTCGTTTTAATAATCACCGTGCACATGCCGTAAGCCTCCCTAATCTACCGCTGTCGAAGCACGTCAGTATGCCTGGCCATGGTTTTGACAAAATTAGGCCCACTATTGTTCAGTCCGGTTTCAAGTCAAATCACGATAGGGAAGTGAGGAAATCCTTCTTGATCCACAAATTTAACACCATTCGTTCAGGTATCAATGAAAACGTAGGAAAGCTCACCTGCCTCACACTATAACAACACGACTTCTTAGATTACTAAAATATTTTAGTGTATATTAAAATGTATATTAGTCAACCGTGGTTTCTTTACTTCAGAGCTCTTTTACATGTCCTGCCAAGTATACTGTGCCCCGCGTGTCGATGCTCAAGGAAATTTGAAACTTGTATATTCATGCACCCGCCGCATGTCAGTCCCATTTTTTCCCATTTTTTTACTTTGATTGTCCTAGCTGCTATACCGAGAGTTCATCACGTGAACCTA